ACCTTAATGATTCTATGATTCTATAATTACCAAATACAAATGTCTATACTGGCAAAGATAAGCTGGTTTGTAATTAAGGCTGATTGAAAACTAGGGACTTTTATACACTAACTGGAAGCTACAATGAAAATGAATCATATGCTAAGGCATACATAACTACATGAAAGAGCTAAAAGAAACTACATTTGAAACTGTATACAATTTGATTTGATTAGAAGGAAAAATATTCCAATGTTAAAGTTCCAGTAAAAGCCAACTCGCTGTAATACTTAAGTGCCAATTACCTTGTAAAACCATAAAGGATACAGAGCAGAATAAGCAAAAGGAATGATCCCTCACATGCTATATAAAAATGCTGCAAAAATTTATGATCTTTTTTATCAGATAAAAGCATGATTTAGATAATTGAGAGCTAATAATACAATGCATATACCTTATAACTCTTCACTATTACAAGAGTAGATGTTTTGAGAACAGCTGGAGTTAAGGTAAAGAGCAGTGGAATAAATTACTGAAGTACAAGAAAAGTAACCGAGGCCCTATTAACTTACCACAGTGAGTAGGGCTCTCATCACTCATATCTCCACAGTCGTTATCACCATCACACAAATATGTTCGAGGAATGCAAATATTTGTGCTTTGACATTTTGTAAAACCAGACTGGCAAGTGCGCTCCGCTTTAAGGAGGGAGGAAAAAAAAGCAAAAGTTCTTTAGAGCTTTTTTTTAAAATACCATTATGCTGTATCTCATTGAAAGATACATAATATTGTTAAAAAGAGTCCCATGCCACTCATCTGCTAAAGTGCACTCATACTGCTCGTGCTATGTGGAAACAATTAGACAATTGCTTTTATTGACAAAAATCCTGACAAAAACATGATCAAAGAAACACAGGCCAATACCTGGGGGTGAGAGAATGTAAACTGACATGTATTCACACTGTAATGTCTGCATTTGCATCATCAGACCAACTACCAATGACTAATAGAGCAGGAATTTAAAATATTCAGATTTCACTGATAATAAAAACATTGTCACAAATAATATGTTTAAAAAAAAAAGTGTGCACACAAAAATGTTAAAAAAATTTCTCTAAATACATTTTCATCAATTTCTCTAACTTCAGATATAAATTTTCCACTGAAGAATGTAATCTTAGTGCAAAGACATGATTAGTGTGATTAACTGCAATAGTAGTCAATATTGAACTAATCACAGTTTACATCTTAAGGAAAACAAACATAACTGATAACTTTTTGAGAGCTATAAGGCATATAATTTTAAACAGAATAAACATAAACTGTGTCTGTATAAGCATCATAATATACACTCCTGATGATTAAATCTAGTATAATTAATATAGCATGACACAAAGTAAAAACCCACTGGCAAACTCGAGGCTAATCCCGCAAAAATATAAGCCCAGCATCCAATTCATCTGAAATAATCTTTCTGAAGTCCATGGGATTACTCACAGGACCTAACATTAAGCACTGCATCAAGGCAGACTATTTAAAGCAATAGTTATTATGTAATATCTTAGGGTACTCTGGAATATCTTTTAACAATTCTATTTGCTTCAGATAACACAAAGCAGAATCTGTAATAGAAATAAAGAAATCTTTTATCGTCTTCGCTGATTTTGTCATAATTCTTCACAAACACACACATTTGCCTCTTCTTTGGTCTGAAAAGTTAGACTCAAATAGGCCCTAGGTAATTAGGATAAACTTACGGCAATTTCTCTCATCTGATGTGCCATTATCGTAACAGTTGTTTACTCCGTTGCAGACATACTGAAGAGATATACACCTTCCATTATTGCAAGTAAATTCTGTGTGGGAGTCACAAGTTCGGAACAAGCAGCCAACCTCATCACTGTTATCTCCACAGTCATTGTAGTGATCACAGCGGTAATGATAGGGTACACATCGCCCATTACCACAGGTGAAAGCTGTTGGCTGACAAGTATGGAAAGCTGCAGGAAATAAAAAACGAAATTCAAGAAAAAAAAAAAAGAATATACACGAATAAAATGTAATCTAAGTCCTCTGACAAAGTAACAAGTAAAATCACAATACTTTTACCTGCCAGGGCAAACACAGCTGCAAAACGGACTGCATGAAAAGTAAAATACATATTTGAATTAAACAAAGTAGAAACTGGCTATACATGATAAAATTCAATACTACAGTGCTTTTGAATTCTAGTGCAAATCATTAGCCATTCAGACCTCAAGTCTGTGAGCTATCAAGGGACCGTTTCCAAACTACAGCCATAAGTTCCATGATCATAAAGCCATAAAAATGATAGAGAATACAGTACAGGCAAGAGAGTATGCATCACTTTCTCATGCAGTTATTTTAAATGCTTACCACACACACTTTCCAGCTCATCACTGCCATCACCACAATCATTGTCATTGTCGCATTTCCATCGCTCAGAGATACACTGCCCATTGAGGCATGTGAAGAAACCAGTTTCACACCTGGTACCGTTATCCACAATACAGTGCTTGTTATTATTGGCTAAATACCAGCGACCTTCAGAGGGGCACTGACATTCTGCACCAGCTGGACCTAAATTTATGTTTGACAGTTAAAAAAAAAAAGGAGACAAAAAATGAAACAAATTTAACATTGATGCTTTAGATAGGGTTCTATGAAACCGTTCACAGCTGTAACACTGGAAAAGACAATTAAATTCTCACAACTACTGTAAGATCTATCTGCTTAGAAGTGTGGTGACTTAGCCAGATTTTTATCTCACTTAAGCATATGCAAACCCATTAAAACCCAAAAGAGTTATTTCAGAGTTCCCTAGAGGAACTGAGATCAGAACTTGGAGTATCTTAATATTTGCATGTTGTCCAAATAGTTTTTGGGTGGCAGCAAGATGGCATCTGATGCTTTCAAGTATCAGAGCTACATCAGCTGAGGCTCTATCCCTCAAAATCAAAACAGGGTTTTCAGAAGTCTTTGCATTAGACTAATTGCTCTTCTCAAAATCAATGAGAAGTTTGAGTCGTTTTCAGGCAAGACAGATTTTTAAAGGCATTTAAGATGCTACAAATGAAAAATGAAAGCAGGCACTGAATGAGTTTTTCAAAGTCAAGGATCATAACTTCCAAAACCCACAACACAAAAAAGCAGCTTTGTAACAGGTATGCTCTTTGGGGTATACTGCCATTCTGGTTTCCTGGCCATCCGGACTGGTGACCTGTTGGAGCACTTTGACTCCCTCCTTATATATGCACAAGGAGAGATACAAGATGGGATACATGTGTCACTCAGGTCTCACCCCAATAGGCAGCTGATGATACACAGCATGTTTCTGGAGTCCATGACTCAAAAGGACACCTGCCCCACAGTGTAGATAGCACAAATTGATTTCTATCTTCTTAGTAGTTGCCCAACATTTAAAATGAGACAGTAGAAACATTTATTTTGGAAATTAATTATCAGGGAAAGAATTCATAATATCATGCGATAAAGAAGTAGTGACCATAAAGATTTTTTAAATATGTGGTAGGAAACATCAGTATACAGCATATCAGTATGTATTCCTAAGGTAACCATATGCTGCAGAGCTCACTTCATGTCTCATCCCAGGGGGAAAAAAAGTTGAAATCCCAGAAACCAATATTTTTGTTTAAATTAGAGAAACCCATAATTTTTATTTGTGAGGATTCTCAGACACAACCCTCAGGTGTGTTGGCAAAATACTGTGACCTTGAATGGCAATCATTTTGATTGCATTTATAAATAAAACAAATATTAAATATTTAGGAACACTAAGAAATATTTCATCTGTCTCCATGTGACTAAAATTGTTATACTATGAACTCTAATACAGGCAACACTAATAGCTTATAGTCATCAAGCATAACAGCTTACCTGGTGCACAGATGTGACTGCAGCCACCATTGAACTGGTTGCAAGGGTTGGTACATTGCTGCTGCTTACTTTTTGCCCAGACATGAATATCCATCGGTCTTTGTGGAAGATTCGTGATCATTACAATCTGATCTGAACCATCATACTTATTAGCTCGGTAAATGCTTCGTGTGTTCCAGTCTGTCCAATATATGTGCTGATCAAACAATGTCATTGCAAATGGATGCAGAGCAGTGCTAACAATTAACTCACGATTTGTACCAGTGAGAGTGCATCGCTCAATCTTCTGCCTAAAATAACAAAGAAATGATTACATCTTAAAAGAAGGAAGTCCTTTAATTTATGTATAAAGCCATGCCCTAATTAGTCTGGCAACTAGTATCCACCATTTCAGTAATGTGCACCAATAAGTAGGGTGCTGTTATGAGTTAAAAATCCCAAATTTTCCAATCTATGGCTTCAATAGTGATGCAGAGTAGCAGCTCTGTAATACTGACACAATAATGTACTGGAAGTAATCAGGTTGAAGACTGAAATGTTTAAACTACGCTACTGAGAGCTAAAATGAATGCAAAACTTCATGAGATAATATACTTTTGAAATGGGTATGATGTTAATGACGTCTTGTACCAGGAGAAAACCAACAGTCCCATGAAATGGGACATGTTTTCATTTCAGTTTTATCTTCCGCAGATCCAAATTTACACAATCAGGAAGTACAAGCAAATTCATGAGACCATAAACATGCATTTTCTGCTATTTCTCATATAAGAATACAGGAAGGAAAAACAGTTCTAATATATAATGACGACCACATATATAACACCTAATAGCCACAAATATATGGTGTATGATAAATACTTCTTCCTAGTTGATCTTCCAGTTTTGATTCTACGTTAGGAACAGCGTTTGCAATGATAAACAAAATTCCAACAAACAAGACTCCAAGGAGCCCCAGAAAATCAGGGTTCAACTCCAAGTTCTGTGATAGACATGTTCTGCTGTATGTGAACTATTCTTTACTCGCACAGACAGCACTACTGACCCACAACCACCTTGTCACTGCTTCTGCCCTTCAGCCATTCCCACCCCTAATGACCACTTCAGCAAAGGTCAGTAGGGAAGCAGGAGAAGACATGCTGATGCCAGGAGACTCAATATGCACTATTCATGCAAGGACATTATTTCTAAGTATTGTTTATAAAACGATGATAAATGTTAGAGGTTCCTTTTCCTGTCTTGTCCTGGTTTTGGCTGGGATAGAGTTAATTTTCTTCCTAGCAGCTGGTATAGTGCTGTGTTTTGGATTTAGTATGAGAATAATGTTGATAACACGCTGATGTTTTAGCTGTTGCTAAGTAGTGCTTACACTAGTCAAGGACTTTTCAGCTTCCCATGCCCTGCCAGGTGCACAAGAAGCTGGGAGGGAGCATAGCCAGGACAGCTGACCCAACTGGCCAATGGGGTATTCCACACCTATGATGTCATGCGCAGCATATAAAGCTGTGGGAAGAAGAAGGAAGGGGGGGACGTTCAGAGTGATGGCGTTTGTCTTCCCAAGTAACCGTTACGCGTGATGGAGCCCTGCTTTCCTGGAGATGCCTGAACACCTGCCTGATGATAGGAAGTAGTGAATGAATTCCTTGTTTTGCTTTGCTTGCACGCACGGCTTTTGCTTTACCTATTAAACTGTCTTTATCTCAGTCCACGGGTTTTCTCACTTCTACCCTTCCGATTCTCTCCCCAACGTGGGGGAGTGAGCGAGCAGCTGTGTGGTGCTTAGTTGCTAGCTGGCGTTAAACCACGACACTGTCTGAGATAGGCAGACCATACAAAAATAAAGCATGAGAGAAGAGAAAATGAAGGATGTTCAAAAGTTATTTGCAGTGAGGATAACAAAAGAAAGATTAATGAGTTATAGATGGGGTTATTCAAAGGAAGAGAAAGAGCTTGACAGAAAAACATCAAGATTAAGTAAATGCTGAAAATGAGATGAGGTACTGTCAGCAAGTTGAAGATAGTAGAACAAGAATGAGCATGGATAAAGGCTGTTCCTTGCCTCCAGCTCCCAGCATCTTGCTGTTCAATCACACTGTAATATTCACATGGCAAGGCTGCCAGCCACTTAGAACACAAGAAAGAACACACTTCAGGTTGTCTCTGCTCCATCAAGTATGGCATCATTCAACTGCATGGCTCTTAATGCTCGTCTCTAAAGAGCAGATAGAGGTAGGAGAATGTGTATGCTTATGTATAAAGCCATAATGCCTAAGAAGTGGAGCAGTGTTTATGCAATGTCAATGGAACAGAACAATTCTCTAAGAGGCTGTGGCATCTTTCATGCACAAACTTCTGAAAAGGAGCTAATAAGAATCCCAGAATGGCTCTATGGAAGGTAAGGATAAGGAAGCTGTGGGACTTAAGACGTTATACCCGGTGATTTTCTTCCTGCTAGCAGCTTCTCTCCCTGTTCATCACTCAGTGGCAATACCTCTTGCCTGTAAAGTCAGAAGGGCCAAATGTTGGAGACTCCAAGCGGAAGGTCCACCCTTTGGTTCAAGCCACCAAAAGAGTTCTCACAGAAACAGAGAAATGCTCCAACAACTTAGCATTAGCAGTAAGAAAATCACTTGAACTTACTTTATCTAACCTCAAAGCAACTGTATGTTTAAGTCTCCGCTAGAGACAAAATTTAATTATTACCAGTTGTATTTAAGGCATTTACTAGACTACCAGTGTGGGTTGAATAAGAAAGGAAATGGCCGATGAGAGAAAATGAGCAGATAAGAAATTTCTCAAAAAGCTGAACAGCTCGTCTCCTTTGTCATCACAAGTAGGAAGGAAAAAGCTGCATTTCATATAAGCAGGAGAAGAAAAACAGAATTTTAATAATTACTACAGGAAAATAATAATAGGCAGACACTTTATAAGGCAAAAGCTTTAACGTGAAAGAACAGTTGTGGGAAAAGTGCAGGAAGGCACTTTTCTATGAAACTGCACTTCTACAAAAGAAAAGAAGCTCAAATGCAACTATCCTGCAATACAGGCTCAGGTAATTTCTCCCTTTCATGCCACAGGGAACTTTTTAGGGGGAGCCCTGTACATAGTTCTCAAGTGTCAGCATGCCATCTGGTGAGGGATTCTTAGTATGTTGCATGCAGCAACTGTGAAGACATGGGAAAGGAACAGTGTACAACTAGCACATACATTCTATCTACTTGAGATGTATCTCAAGACTTGCGTGTGTGCCCAATGGTATCACAATACTTACCAGGAAACAGGAGGTCTAGAACAAAAGAATAGAAATACTACTTTAGAGAAAGAGGGATAGCACCTTTGGGAGACTAGCATAAACAAGAGGAGAATAAGCAAGAGTAAAAATGGAGCAGAATATATAGCTCACCTTTGTGTTCCCTTGGTACATTCAGAGCTAAGGAGCACTGTCATTTTTGAGTGTCTGGTCTTCGTATCTTACCCCATGCTGCTATCTGTCCTTCTGAAGGGGTAAAGGCCCCCCCCCGTGAAAGTCAGAATAAAGACGACTTCACACTGTTTAAGCATATGCTTCCCTACCTCCATTAATTAGAGTTTGAAAGAGAAAAGAGGATGTCTCATTTGACAGCCTGCATTCCCCTTAAAATAGAGGGTCCCATTACAGGTGCCCTGCCCTCCTACATACAGATGAATCCAAATCCTCCCAGAAGATCCAATAGAGGCACAGACTATAAGAGTTATTACATTACAAACATAAACTCTTCCGTCATGGCAAAGGAAAAGTCTGCAAAAGAACTGCTGTGCTGAAGGAACCAGAGGGGAAAGGTCTGATTGCTGCAGTGATTTCTCTGAGACCATGCATAAATTTGAATGGATACAAAATAAATTATTTCTTAAAACTTT